TGGATTTTAGGGAGAGTTTCACTTACACATGGTAGTACCTGGCCTAAAGTACAAATCTTGGTAGAATAATAAAAGTTTACATTTTACTTTTATCTTTTCTTCCTAGAATGACATGCACACGAATACAAATTTTAAAGAAATGATTATTACCTCGGCTTGTTCTCAGAATGTCTTAACTTTTTGCTTTAACAGAAACCTGGCTGTTCCCAATGACACTGCTTCCACCCTGACCCTCTCAGGCTGTGATTGTTTTTGTTTTTTTTCCTAATCCTTTTTCTTCTACTTTCCCACCTGCTCTAGAAGCACAGTATGAATCAATTCTAGGTCATTCCTCCTTATTTGAAGATTTTAGCTCCTGACTCATGCCCACGCCTTCTTACGTGACCCCTTTCACATGTTCAGTAACCCCATAGATACATTCTTATCTCTCTTTCCTTTAGTCTCCTTATCTATAGTTACTGCCGACTCTACATTGTCCTAGATAACATTATTACCAAAATCTCTGCTCTCTCATCTCATTTTCAGCAATCTCATTTGCTGACTTCCCTTCCTGTCTTTTGAGCGCACAGGCTCTTAATCCTTCAACCTCATCAAGACACAAAGTCTGTTGGTCTTCCTTCACTTTTGCTTGACCTCATTCTCCTCGTATTCTCATTTGATTTCCATTCCAGCTGTGATAACTTTGACCCTTCACAAGAAAATCTCCTTTGCATATACTCTCAGTTTTCTTCATCTTAAGTACTTTATGGTTTTCTCTTAGAAAAGCTCTGCTTCTGTTTAAACTCAATTCTGTTTTCTCTGTGCCCTTACAGGATTCAGACATACTGCTCCAAAATATGCCACCTGAGGAAACAGTAGGTCTTACTGATCTTCTCCCATTCTTTTCTTGAAGCAGCCCATAGAAAAACTCTCTGATGTTCCTCTGGAGTTGGTCATAAAACATTCACATCCTATACTTCCAGGAAGGAACATTCTTATTCTCAAGAAGAGAAAGAAGAATCTGAACCAGGAGGCTTGTCTGAGCTCTTCTCAATTATAATCTTTAGGTTAGACCCATTTTTACTACAGTCGAAGTTCAGAATGATTTTCTACTCTTCATCAGACTTAACATAAAATTATAAAATATTTCTTTGGCGCTTCACTTCTGAAGGCTCTTGTGTCACACAATCTTATGTAAAAGTTTACTTACCCTTGCTAATTTGTCTTTTGTTATAAGAGTCTTAAACATCAACCTAGGAAGGAAAATTTTCATCTGTACTCCTGAATCCCAATCTAAAGTTTGGAAGAAATGCATAATTTTGTGGAGTTGTCACATTTAAATACAGATTTCTTTTGGACCCTTGATCCCACAACTATTTTATTGCTTTTCCACTTGAAACAGACTTGCCAAGAGCTCCCACCACAACACTTACCCATCTGCCATCATGGCTTTTTCATTTACCAATCATGCCTTTCTATTCATTTTAATGTGTGGATTACTGTTTCTGTTTTGGTCTTTGTGCTTGGATTTACCTGAAGTTCATATGTTGAAATGTCCTAACTCTCAAGGGCCCTGATGGTAAGAACTTCAGTCTTTGAATGATTTTTAGGTCACAAAGCTAGAGGCCTCCAAAATAAAAGTAATACCTTTATGACAGTAGCCCAAGAGAGCTCTCTCTTTCCTTCTGCCATGTGTGGTTGTAGCAAAACAAGAGCCACATATGAGCTAGGAAACAGACACTGGATCTGCTGTGCCTGGATCATAGACTTTCTAGCTGCCAGAATTATGAGAAATGAATTTCTTTTGTTTGTAAGCCACCAAATATATGGTATTTTGTTATAGTACTCCTAGCAGATTTAATTCATAACTAAGGCAAAATTCTCTGACGTTACGTTACCACTTCTCAAGTCCAGCAATTTTCCCATCCTCTCTTTAGGGAATACATTTGCCTCTCCACTAGATCATTATCATCAAAATAAAAACAGGTGAAACTGTTTGGACTCCAGAATTCTTACCTACTACCATACATGTTCTCAATTTATCTCACCTCTTCTCTTTTGAATCCCTCCAGTTAGGCTTTTGCTTATGTCATTCCACTAAAATTGCATTTTTGCAATCACAAATGGCTTCTAAATTGTCAAATCCAGGAACGAATTCTCAGGACTCATATTTCTTGAATAGCAACATTTGAGAAAGCTGACCACTTCTCCCCTTTGAAAGACTTTGTTCTCATGATTTCCAGATATCACATTCATCTGTTTGATCCCCCATTCTGTGGCCAGCCCTTTATGCTTTCCTTCTCTGGTTGCATCTTTTCCCCAAATTTCTAAATCTAGGAGTACCCCAGAAATGTTAAACCTTTTAAACCTACATTTTATTCCTAACAGTCTCATGTAGGACAATGCCCAGATTTATAATCCCAGGTCAGATTTCTCCTCTGTACTCTGGATATAACTTCCATGTTTTCCTAAAAGTCTTATTTTGAGAATGCAAACTCATTTTCCATTTTGGTCCAAAGAGATTGATTCTTATTAGGGACCAGTTTGAGCATAATGCTAATTTCCAATTTGCTTGTATTTATGTTAATTTTGCTTCACCATGGTAATCTGTGTATGTATGTATGTGTCTAAGAGCTGAGATTTTAATTGTGTTTTATTTATGTATTTAGCTAGTGCTTTGGGGGTTTTGTTCATTTTAATTTTTGAAATGAATTCAGGAGATCCTATGAAGTCCACAGTGATTACATGCAAATATTTGTTCATATTTTACTTTGGGGGATAAAGGTTATAGTTGATATATTTTAAGGGATCCTAAATAACATTAGTAACATTAATAATATAATAATAACAATTAGCAATAGGTTATCTTTGGGCTGCACTAGCAACTTCCATAGCTTAAAATGTTCATATAACAGTTATAATGCTGAGATATTGTGACTAGCTATGGATTTTTATGAATAAACTCAGTTGTTAAAAATAATATAATTTAGTATTTAAATATTATTGTTAGTGCTTTTGTTTTGCTGTCTTTGTTTCTATTTTTGTCTTTTAAAATATAACTTTATGTGTTCATTACAAGGATATAAACCACTTATTGTTAAAAAAAGTTTGGACTCAAGTAACTTACTTATCATTTATAAGCCTATTTTATAATGTTGCTATTTTAAAGTATACTCTTTGAGGCTTCCTTCCATCTGTTCCTTTATAGATAGACATTCACATAATATAAATAATAACCTCCTTTAGATCTTTGCAAGTTTGAAACATTAGAGAAATACCAATTTTTTTCTACATATGAAAATGAGAACTAAAGAAGATAAAAAACAATCTACAATATAAATAATATAGATGTTGGAAAAAAAATCTTGCAAGAAGATTCTTTATTATTCACATAACTATTGGTCTATTATTTATATCTTCTTTGTTCTTATTTTCCAAAATGTCATGCTTGGCTACCCAGTTTCTAAACTCAAAATATTCTATAGATAACAAATTTGAAGTGGGGAACAGAGTAACTTCTATAGGTAGCTGCACTAAGTAGGAAAAGTAACTATAGGAAGTAGGAAAATAGGAAAGAGGCAACTTTACACAGACTAACATATACAATGAGGACATTTTTTTATGGGAAGAAATAGCACTTGTTTTAGTCAAATTTTATCATTGAAACAAAATATCTGACACCTAGGATTTAAAGGAGGGGTGGATTATTTTGGCTCATGATTTCATGGGGTTCAGGTCATGACAGCAGGAAAGGCTGGTGATCTGCTCAACACATAGCAGCTAGGAAACTGAGGAAAGCCAGGAAACTGAGAGGGGAAGAGAGAACCCGAGGGAAAGATATGCCCTCCAAACACATGAGCAAGTAACCCATGTACTCCAACCAGGACCCACTCCTAAAAGCACTACGAACTCATCAATAGCGTAATCAACTGACAACCATAACACTGCCCCCATGAGGGAGTCACCTTCCAAAATCTCCCTCGCAGAACAAGGAGACTTTGGGGGAAATTTTTAGCTTTGTGTGATAATAGCACTAAACATCTCAATCCTTCCCTAAATTATGTTTTGTTTTGTTTTTTTTAATCACAGTAATGAAAGTTTTAGGAATCACTTAAAGGAAAAAAAAATAATTGTGGGAGAATTCGTGGGAGAATTCTCTAAGTAAGAAGCAGCATGGGAAATTAAAATTTTAAAAAACAACAACATTGAATTTCTAGTTACTAATAATATTTGGCTCTTTTGAATGATCTATTTTCAAAGGATTGCTCCTTCAGCACTATAGCTAAAATAGTGGCTTTTGTATTGAGAAGTTGTTTAAAATGACTCATTAAAAATCAGATAGGAAGATGTGTGAATCCAAAGATTTTAATACTTAATCACAATATCGCTCTTTCTGTTTATTTAATGAACATAAATAAGAGCATAATTGAGAGATTTATATGCAGATAAAGAGGAAGTAAAAAGAATTATTAGGGTAAGGTAAGAATTCTGCAGAAAATAATGTATTCAAATATGAAGGGACTAAAACAGAGAGTATGAAAATAAATGTCTGGTTGCCTCCATATCATTTTTGACCTGAGCCAACATTTTAATCAAATAGAATGGGGCCTGTCCCTCATACAGACCAATCCCAAAGGAAAAAGTTCTTTCTCAGTCTTGTTTGAACTGCCTGGGTTGTAGGTAAAATGTTGAAAAGGCAACTAAATCCCTGAATTTTATTCTTTAATATGGAACTTGTAAATAACAACAGAAATGTACCATTATAAATTAATTTGATAAAGGAAAGTAGGTGTGCCATGTTTGAAACTCTGATATTTTGCCTTTGTGTACATACAAGAACATCTCATTTTTGTTAAGATGGAAGCTAAATTCTTCCAGGCCCTTCCCATGACCATGGAGAGAAAAGGAGACACAGCATTGCCATAGCTAGTAAGACAGAAAATGGCGTCATCTATACCTTCTTGAAAATTAGTTGAGCAATTCTCATTTGATAAAATTACTATAATTTAAAGAAAAATTACCTTTAAGGCTGTTTTGAACTTCTAAAGCTATATCGAGAGCATTAAAGGGCAGAACTGGTTCGTTGGCAATTTGCAAAATCATTTCTCCTGAGAGCTGAAAGAAAAAGAAAAAAATTACTAGCATTTGGTAATAAAGAGTTCTTGCTTGCTTTTTATTATTTCACATACCTTTTATATCCAGAGTAGCAAAAACATGGAGGAAAAAGCATAATTTTTGAAAACCTTTTTTTCTATTAAACCCCTTATTTTATTTTTCTATAAAGAAAAAGGTTTCATTATCTTTTCATGTCTCAGAACAGTATAAAGAAATACAATATTCTGTTTATTTTTTAGAGTATTAAGAAATATCTTCCATTATTAATTAGTAAGTAGAAATTAAATCAATTAATTATATGACTGTTTAGAACATGATCAGAGAAACAGTTGTGAGGAACAACTAACATTCAATGTCTGGTTGTTGGGTGAAGTAAAATTCTAGACACAATTAATGATTAATCTATGTCGTTGAAAATATAATTGAATCCAAAATATCCATTAATGTTTTAAGTACTAAAATGCTTTATTCCTACTTACTTTTCCAAAATTTATCAAAACTAATACCCTTTATACATCTGTCAGATCCTTGTTTAAGTTAAAATTTTAAAATAAAGAGAAAAATGGCATCCTGGAAGCTCACACCTAGAGTTTTCATTCATGCACAACCCCCACCATCCCAATCGAAAACTGTATTTGAAAACCAACCTACGTCTACAGCTGAACAAGCATCTGCTTAATTGACTCAACACATCTCAAAGGACCTGAAGGTTGGCAGCAAATGCCACTGTTATCTGTCCCTCTCTCTCATAAGAGGTATTTAACATTTATCTGAGCTTAACAGATATTCCTATATCTCTTGTAACCTGAGTCCAGCACACAGGGAAATGTAGCTGCATTGATAATATTAATGTATTGTAAAATGCGATTAGTGAATGAAAATATTGCCTATGCAGCTACACAGGGAAATCAGTAAAATAACTCAAGATAGCACACACATAAAAACATAACATACAAGGAAATTATGATTTTAGATATCTAAATCTGTCTCCTCAACAAGAACCAAATTCCATTTCATATTGAAAATTGTATTCCCAACTGTTTGCATAATTCATGTCATGATTAAACACAGTTCAACTTGATCTTCTTCCATATACTTGGAAAAGTATATATTTTACAAACAAAGAAGAAAAAGAACTACCTTTTATACTAGTTTATTCCTTTAGGTATTTTCCTCACAAATATAGCAACCAATTCTTCCCCAATGCCTATAGGATCCTTGCAAAGTTTTATCCCCAGTGTAGCGATTATAAATATCCTGGGAAACTGCCTGCTCCGATCATGCTGTGTTTCAGGAAAAGAGCACTGTCTGCAGTAGAATGATATGGATCCTCCTCCCGCTGCACCTACAGTATCCAAGTCATGCAAGGAACCGTGATATTTGGAAATAAATTGTTTGTAAAAAGGAATTTTTAAAGAAGATTAAGAAGTGTATGGTTTCTTTCTTCCAATTTGCACTGGATAATAGAAACTACAGAACAGACATGTTTTGTTGACACTTTTGGAATGTGGAAACCACACATTACAAAAGATTAAAATGAAAGAAGGGGGAGGTAGGACAAAGGGGACTTTGTGTACTGCTGGAGAATGCTGTTTTGCTCTTTCTTTTTTTCCCTTTTTAAGCATCATTTGGCAGCTTCAGCAGCTGGAATATAAACCAACCACCTTGCTATTTCTTTCATAAAGAAGTTGGCATAAAGAGTGCTACTTTCGAGGCACCTGGCCCATGATGGAATGCTCAGACTAAATCAGCTATATTTGTAGCTTCATAAGCAAGAGGGAGATTTGTGTACCCCTAGCCATATTGTGAGCAGAAATGAGCCACACTGAGTGTCATACCTATTCTGGAACACAGTCTTCCTCAGAAACACCAGAACAACTTTTTCTTACCTTGATAGTGCAGCCTCATTCTTTTCAAAATTCATTACACCTACCTAACACATTTCATTACAATGACAACTCTAGAGTCTATGGTGCGGGAATTAACGCACCACGTTTAAAACATGGAGAATGAGCTTCACTAAGAGCTAAAATATTGGTAAAACTAAATTAGCAATAATCAAAATTTATTGAGCTCCTACTAGATATGAGATGCTCCTCAGAAATTTTCAAATATCATTTCTTTTTAATTCTCACAACAGTTTAGCAAGGCAGGTATTGTTATATCCATATTATAAATAATGAAACTGAGGCTCAGAAAAATTAGGTAACTTGGTCAAGACACATCCCTGAGCCTTACTGATTTGAAGTTCTAGGCTTTGTTGTTATTGTAATGTGAAATTTACAAGGGGTGATCAAAATATATGACAAATATTAAAATTTTAAAACATGGTAATAGTGGAAGACACATTGCCATTTAACTCCTCAAAATACTCCTCCTTGCATTGAATACAGGATGACATTTTTGTGAATATCCGAAACAGTTCTGTAAGTTCTCTCGTGATTGCCTTTCAGAGGTGGGATAAAACATACAGTGAAGGCTGCACCCACCCAGTGCCATTTAACAGGAAGATAGATTCATGAAAACACCACAGTGCATCTTCATCCATCTTATTCAGAGGAAATGGGTATTTCCCAAAGTCAAAGGGACCATGAAAAGTGATGGTGTGAATCAATTCAAGATATCAAGGCAGCTACAACAGCGCCACTAAAGATAAACAAAAGAAGATTCCTAGAACTGCTGCTGAAAGTACCAAGACAAGTGGCACACATGTATCGGAAGCTAGAGAATTATTCTGATGCAGACGGTAGCAATACGCTTTTTCCTGTAATATTTTTTAATTAAACATTCTCCATATTTTTATCACACTAAGCATTGTTAGAATCTAGGAAGTCTGTTGGCTTTTCAAAAGGAACTAAAGCTATGCTCTAAATCCTTTACTTCTTGTCCACTGTTCTTTCTACTATACTATAGTATTTTCTGATTAAAAAAATCTATATTCCTTGAAATATTTTCGAGGAACTGCAATATATAATCTCAGCCTCAAAATCGTTGATATTTTTGTCCTAATAAGGTCCTGTTGGAAATTTTCTTCTGCATACTTGTGTGGGAAAACTAAACCTCCAATTCATATAGTGATAGTAGTATTTGAGAAGCCTTTGAAGTAATTAGGGTTAGATCTGTTCATGATACTAGACCTTCACAAAGGAATTATTGACTATAAAAGGAGAAACAGAGACCCAGTGTTGCATGCTTTTGGGTTCTCTCTCGCCTGGCAGTGCTCTTTATCATGCTATGACCTAGTAAAAAGGCCTTCACCAGATGCTCTACCTTTACACTTTACATCCAGGCCTTGGAATTGTAAGTTGAAAAAGCTTCTATTGTTCATAAACTATTCAGCCTGCAGTGCTCTGTTATGACATCATAAAATGGACAAAGACACCATAGCATGTAACATTAGCAAAGACATGATCCAAAATCTGTGCAATTCCATTACGAATCTATAAGTATACAATCTGCCTTAGGACTCTTGTATCCTTGCTTCTCCACTTCTCTAAGACAATCTTACTCATGTTCATAAGATAAGGAATAAATTTTAAAGAAAACATGTTGTATAAAACTAAAAATACTTTAAAATATGAATATAAATTAATATAAAAGGCAATATAAAAACTAAAAGTAGACCTACTATTTGATGCACCTACGCCACTCCTTGGTATTTGCCCAAAACAATTAAAGTTAAGTGTACTATAAAGATTATTTTGGCCCAATTCACAATAGTTAAACTATAAGAATAGCCTCAAGGACCATCAGGGGAGGAATGGATGAAGAAAATGTGGTACATATACACACTGGAGTATTATTCAGCCACAAAGAAGAATGAAATCATGTCACTTGCAGTAAATAAAACAAATGGAAGTGAGGATCATATGCCAAATGAACCAGACTCAGACAAGTATTGCATGCTTCCTGTATGTTGAGTTAAAGCATGAAAAGTAAGAGGTGATAAGAAAGCAGAAGGGAAAGTACTAGCATGGAGGAAGAGAATCAGAGAATGAAGGAAAACAGAAGGAGCAACAATATGCAGTGAAAAGATCAAATTCATGGAAGAACATGCCAAAAGGAAACCCTTTTTTCTGCATAACTAATTTTAACTGACAAAAGATCAGATCAAAACTATAAAATGCACCAATAAATACAACTTGCAAAAGGTTTTCTTCTCTCACTAAATGTCCCTAGAGTTGTCCCTGGGGTTAGTGGTTTCATTCACATTACAAAAAAATAGATAGTCAAAGACAGAAACTATACAGCCATCTAGATTTTCAGGTCAATAAAGGCAGACTATAGTTACCCCATATAAAATTTTAGTTTTTCAATGTGAAATAATTCTCTTGTGTTTAAGAATACAAGAGTATTTAAGAAGCAATATGATTTCACTGGGAAATTACACACACACACACACACACACACACATATATAATATGTTTATATATATACTTTCACATACAATCATTTATACTTTTTTCTTAAACTTAGTAAATAATAATAATCTGTTTCCTTGTGACCTTATACGATAATGTGGCCTTATATCCTCTGACTTTGTCAAAAAAATTTTATATTCATTAGGGCAATCTGAAAGAGAAAAAAAAGAATATATTTCTTATGTTGTGAATATCTAGAGCACAAAGCATTTTTTCTGCCCTAGGTATAGTAGCTCATTGTTCTTTATACTCCTAATAAATGTGACCATACTCCTAATAAATGCTTTGAATGGATTTATTAGTTAATCAGAAAATAGTGGGCATAGATTGGTTTAGTAACCAGTACCAATGGCATGGCTCCAACGTGTAATTTCTTTTTAGTTGCAGGTAGACAAACTCAGAGTTTGTGGTTTGTTCCATTTTTATAAATCCAGATTAAAGTAAGCAGACTTCATATCTTTTATATAAGCTATAAGTTAAACTATCATTGTGGGATTTTTTTTTATGTCTTTAGTCAAATTTAAAATGCTGTAGAGACCTACTGTACAAGTCGATGCTGTGAGATGGTCATAACACCGG